GTAACTTTGGATAAGCTTTAAAATGATATATGACACATACTATGACGACACTGGTATATGTCTGCCTAGGGGGGGGCCCCATACTTTCGGGACACCCTGTATTGCTAATTTCGCCAGAAATTATCATTATATTGTTCGAAGCATTTTTAGATTAAGCCGTTGTATGGGATGGTTTACTTTTACGTCGACTTTTACGGCGTGATAAATAATTGACCATCATGGGGAATCATGGTCCATAGAAAGCAAATTTCTAGTTGAAGGCAGAAGGATGTAATGTGTATCAAAATGATGACTGAAAAACAACAACATAGCTTCAACGTGCGTTAATATTTACTTTATAAATGTTTCTCTTGATGTTTGCAGATGCACTTCTTGGAGAGGTGAAATGTTCCCCTGCAATGTGTCTCCTCGGGTAGATATATTATATTGGCCTTGGGATAATCCCAATATCCTGAACCTCATATAAGATAATCTCTATATATTTACTGAATGATTGTCTTGATGTTTGCAGATACACTTCTTGGAGAGGTGAAATGTTCCCCTGCAATGTGTCTCCTCGGGTAGATATATTATATTGGCCTTGGGATAATCCCAATATCCTGAACCTCATATAGGATAATCTCTGTATATTTACTTTATAAATGATTCTCTTGATGTTTGCAGATACACTTCTTGGAGAGGTGAAATGTTCCCCTGTGATGTGTCTCATGGCGTGTCAGTTTGGATTCAGAAAGAATCAACATGGCTGCACAATCTGCCGGTGTAATCCTCCACCGAATGCATTATATCCAGGTATGTTATGGATATTCCTTACACATCTTTGAGGACAAGTCAATGACTTCTGTTGCATACCTGTAAAATTTTCTTCGAGTTAGTGATTAAACGTGTTTACGTCCCTGAATGGTTGTTCTGAATTGTTATGTTACAATTTGCCAGAAATATCTACTTTTGTCCATTTTGAAGCATGCCTCTGATTGTAACTGTAACTGACATCGTACTGTTTGTAGCTACTTTTGATGATGGATGTCCACCTGTAACGTGTTTGTCCAACTGTCCAAATGGCTATGTTAAACTCGATGGTTGCCGAACATGTGAATGCAACCTTCCAGAGCCATTCATTTCATCCAATGAAAATGAAAACGATGTTGAAGGTATGTATCTTGTTAAAATACTAAATATAATATGCACTACACGCATGGATACACTAACCGTTGTATGTTGTTAAGAATTTACACCTTCACTCACCATTATTGTACAAGAAGACCACATTAGCTGAGCAAACGAGGGTCAACCGAATGATGTTATTTCTCAAAGGGTTTGAATATGCCATTACAAAGGGGAAATATCGGGAATAATGATTTGAAAACATAAGAAGTTCTACTTCTTGCACAGTTAATTAAATGGGGCTATTATTATACGGGAGCAATTTTGACATTTTCCCCAGAATGATTATGGCTAACTGAATTGACATAATGATTGTTTTTCTCTTAAACCAATGAAACATCCTGTAAAAAACACGGTCTTTATGATATGGTCACTGATTGACAACTTAATGCGAAAATTATTCAAATATATTTTTTATAACTGTTTTTGTTAACACTTTTTAGTGCAATTGTTTTTTGTTCCTCTCTACCAATTCTTGAGAATGAAATAAATTATCTTTCCGAACCTTGTTGGAAAAGAATAGCCTGTACAACATTTTCTTAGGCCTCTCAATATTATAGTTACACAAAGGAAAATTTGGTTACAAAAAGTATTTAAAATATCAAAACAAAAACCTCACAAATAGATAAAAAAAATTAAAACAAACCTTTTATTTCATTAACAAGATACTTTTTTAAATCAACCAATCTTTCCTTTGTACAATTACAATATTGAGAGACATAAACACGTTGTGTATATGTTGTTTTGTTCCAGATATATATATGTATTTCAAATTAAACTGTTACCATTCAAAAGATGATCAGGAGATTGACGATGTTTTTAAATTTTCCGAATTTTTTATGACTGTTTTAACATGTGTTATTCAGTTCGCCATATCGACACCAATCCTTTAATGACGAAAATATTTTTTGAGAAATTTTCTATTTTCAAAAAATGATCTTTGCCGACAGCTTTCAATTTTGACCTTGTTGAAGTGTAAGTACAAGGCATGTATGAAAATTATCTAAAGGATCTAGTTGACTTATATAATCATAAAATATTACGAGGTAATAACCAAAAAACGATTTTGGCGCTCCCATTTGTTTACCCAAAATCCTTTAATATACCTTGGTGTTTTACTCGGGTCAGGACATAAAGGCAAAAACGAAAACATTACATTTTACATAAACTGCCACGCCCATATTTCTGCTTAGCCTTCTCTTCAAATTCTGTAAATCCATTGTACTGAATCAGAAGCAAATCTCTCACAATTTCTTTACACGAGCACAACGTCTTACCAAAGGTGCATGTGCTTTGTGAAAATAGAGGCTAGAAAATGTAATGTTTACACGATTATTGAGACTAGACATTTTCGATCTTTTGATCAAAATAATAAACATATAAAGGAGAATAGAAACTGCGTCATTTTAACAGTAAAGAACGGACTCGCGTTTGCTCAACTATTTAGCATAAACCTTCCTCAAGCTAACATACAATATATTATATATATTTACGATAATATGAAGTTCCCCGTAGCATAATGAATATCAATCTGTGAATCATTTCAGTAAAATGCATTTAATGTACAAATCATTACATGTGGCAATTCAATATTATGGCAGCATATATGTAGTTATTTGTTTTGGATTTCCTTCGAACTAACACCCTTCTATTAACTCATGCAGCACTCTTTTTTCCCTATACGCACTTGCACTCTTTATTTCTCAATTTAGCGTCCAAGAAACCTAAATGTCCTAAAGAACGATGTCTCGAATGGTGTGAATTCGGATATACGAAGGATAAAAATGGATGCCAGCGATGCAATTGCTACATCCCTCCCGAGGACGCCAACTGTCAACCAATAGACGAGATCTGCCCCATGGATTGTCCAGTTGACTACACATTGATGGAGAACGGATGTATGGACTGCATATGTAAGGACTGCAGTGTGCCCGAGGATTGTGAATTAAACTGTCCTCAAGGATACGTATTTGATGACTTTGGATGTGCAATATGCAAGTGCACTCCTGAAGAACTAGACTCGGCATCTGATATATTTGATGTTCGAAGTATATGTGAACCATTTCAGTGTTTCAAATCGTGTGATATGGGATATGAAAGAGATATAAATGGATGCGAAATATGTTCGTGCATTACCCTTGGTAAGGATATTAACGATAGATTTAATGACAACTACAAAGATTACAATGAGTATGGCGAAGACTTCGTTCCTCAGATAGCTCATGATATTGAGGCCAAAGATGAATCTTTCTTTATGCAGGCCGACTCTCCCATACCTTACAATTGCCCAAAAGTGGTATGCTACAGGCACTGTCCTTTCGGATTTGCCTACGATAGAAATGGCTGTAAGAAGTGTGAATGCAGGAAAGTCTGCCCATCAGTAAGATGCAAAATGATTTGTCCAAGTGGCTTTCAACGCGATTTCAATGGTTGTATGGTGTGTAAATGTAATGGAGACACCGCAGGACCTTCAATAGACTCTTCTGGACAACAACCTTCTTCTGGTTCTGTTGGACCATTTGAACCCAAAGGCCCTGCTATAGATCCACATGGACCACAAAGACCTGTTAGACCGACACGTGTTTGCCAGCCTGTAGAGTGCAAAGGATTGGTGTGTGAAGATGGATACGCCATTGAAAAGGGTTGTGTTTTGTGTAGATGCGGATTGGCACATTTACCACGAGTTCAGACTCTTCCAACTAATCAATGTAGCAAGTTTGAATGTAGACTAAAATGTCCTGGCCCATATGCTGTTGAGGATGGATGCCCTATTTGTGGATGTGCAGTATCCTCATATACTCGAGACGCCGTCGCTCCTCCCCCAAGGCTGGATAATGGCAGATGTCCAGTAGTATCATGTACTCTTCGTTGTCCCAATGGCTTTTCAATTGAAAAGGGATGCACTCTTTGTCGATGTGCACTCCCTACATTACCAAGAGTTATGTCAGTTCCTTTGAAACCATGTCGTCCTTTAACATGTCGTCGTAGATGCAAAACTCCGTATCCTCTTGAACATGGCTGCCCAACATGCAGGTGCTTGCAAAATGATAACCCTGTTTGCAGCCCGGTCAAGTGTAGAATATATTGCAGATATGGATTTGAGAGAGATGAAACTGGTTGTGAGATATGTAGATGTGTGCAATTGAAACCTGTCATCGATCCACCCGAACCAGCCATGCCAGGACAGAATGCTGCATCTCCATCGAAACCATATACATGTCCTAAAGTTGCATGCCAAATGTACTGTCTTAATGGGTTCATGAAGGACGCCAATGGATGTGATATATGTCAGTGTGCGTCTGCCGATAATGAAGTTGAAGAACCGACAAACTGTCCCAGAGTCTCTTGTCTGATGTACTGTCCTCGTGGTTTCAAACGAGATCGCAGAGGTTGCTATTTATGTGAATGTAACAAACCTCCACAACCAAGGATGCAAAATCCACGGAAGAAACCACATGAGCAAAACCGACGGTTACAACATAACCCGCATTCAGAACGAGGCTTGACAGAAAATAAGATTGAATGTCCAAATGTTGTGTGTAATATGTACTGTCCATTCGGGTTTACTAAAGACGGGAATGGATGTCACGAGTGTCAATGTGCTCAACCAATGCCTAAAGTACAATGTCCACAAAGACAGTGTAGGAAGTACTGTAAGTTTAGCTTTAGAAAGGACGAGAATGAATGTACTGTATGTGAGTGTGCAGCCCAAAATTCATCCCCGAAAACCTGCAGCAGAGCCAAGTGTCACATGTACTGCCCTTTCGGGTTTTCACAAGACGAAAATGGATGTGAAGTTTGCTCTTGTGCTAGACCTCCCTCGGATTCATCACCTGTAGAAGAAGAGTGTTCACCAGTACGCTGCTTTATGTACTGCAAATATGGTTTCATGAAAAATGAAAAAGGTTGTGAAATTTGTGCATGTGCCGAGGCAGGAGAGGGAAATGCACAACAGGAACAGAAATGTCCACAAAAGAGATGCAAGATGTACTGTAAGAATGGGTTTGCAAAAGATAGAAATGGATGTGAAATTTGTCGCTGCAACACCAGTAGACCCCCTCCCCCTCCTGTCCCAGCAGTGAAGTCTGAATGCAGGGATGTTTGTAAAGTGTATTGTAAATTTGGGTATAAAAAGAATGAACGAAATTGCGATATATGTGAATGTGCATCGCCACAGTCTGCATTTCAAATATGTTCAAACGTGCGATGCGCCATGTATTGCCCATTAGGTTTTACACAGGACCCAAACACAGGATGTGAGGTTTGTGAATGCAAGAAACCTTCCTCCATTGCCCCAGATAATGGTGTATGCTCCCCCCTTAAGTGCAAAATATATTGTCCTTATGGGTTTGTAATAGAAGAACACTGTCCCGTGTGCAGATGCGCTAATCCACCCAGGAGAAGCGTCCTTGACACAAGTTGTGAACCCGTGCGTTGCATGATGTATTGCAGATATGGTTTCAAAAAAGATGAAAATGATTGTGAAATTTGTGAATGTGAAAGCGAGGCTATTCAAATTGAATGTCCGGATGTACAATGTAGAATATACTGCCATGACGGTTATGCTACTGATGAAAATGGTTGTGAAATATGTAGATGTGCAGATCTAGAGAAAAGTGAAAATCCACCGGGTCCTCCCCGTGTTGAAGCCAGTAGTGAAGAATTGAAAGGCTCTATGGTAGAATGTCCAAAAATAAGATGTCAGTTATATTGCAAATATGGTTTCAGAAAAGGAATCAATGGATGTGAGATATGCGAGTGTTCTCGAGATGATGGGACTTTAGATGGTCATCAATGTCCAAGAGCCATCTGTGGAATGTATTGTCCATATGGTTTCATAAAGGATAGGCATAATTGCGAAATATGTGAATGTCAGACTAAACCCACACCTAAAGTTCAAATGGCGAAAGAGTGCCCAAAAAATCAATGTTTCATGCGATGTAAGTTTGGTTTCATGAAAGATTCAGAAGGTTGTGACATCTGTAAATGTAACAGGCGTCCTATCCGATCAACACCTTTAGAGAACACTGAATGTCCCGGGGCCCTGTGCTTAATGTACTGTCCATTTGGATTTAAAAATGACAAAAGGGGGTGTACCATATGCGAGTGTGCTGAACCTGTACCGTCCAAACAAAACATAGAGAAGAAACAATGCCCCATGTTCCAATGTCAGATGTACTGCCAATTCGGATATAAACTTGGAGGAGACGGTTGTGGCCTATGTGAATGCAATAGCCCTAGAACACCAACATCTCCTGATATTGAAATTGAATGCCCTGTGTCAGCTTGCCCTAATTTTTGTGAATATGGCTACAAGATTGACGAGTTTGGTTGCGAGATGTGTGAGTGCAAAGACCCTATACCAAATTGTAAGTCATTAGATGAGATATGCCCCCAGGATTGTGCACTTAAGTATGGAACTGATGCAAACGGATGCCCTACTTGTGAATGTCTCCCATGTCCAGAATTGCAATGTGAACTAAATTGTCCAGATGGATATAATTATGAATATGGCTGTCCGATTTGCGAATGTGCTTCAGAAGACTGGACTTTGCAGGGTGATGAACCAATTCTACAATGTAGAGATTTGCACGAGCTGTGTCCTCTTGATTGTCCATTAAAGTACCACATTGATGAATTCGGCTGTCCAACGTGTGAATGTGCTGGGTGCCCGGTCCTGAATTGCGCCACGACATGTCCATATAAGAGAAAGAAAGATGACAATGATTGTGAGACTTGTGAATGCGAAACCCCTGTCCCAATGCCCCAAGAAGGGGGTGACTTTCAATGTCCAAAGTTCAACTGTCGTATGTACTGCAAGTTTGGATACGATCAGGATGAAAAAGGATGTGGGATATGTAGGTGTAAGGACACACCATCCGTTCCCGTCCCTCAGAATTCAAAATGCAGTAACATTGACTGCCAAATGTATTGTGAATATGGATTCAAATTGGACGAAAATGGATGCCAAACATGTGAATGTAAATCTAATCCTTTGATTAATAATGTTGTGGAATTGTCAAAATGCTCTAACGTTGCCTGTAACATGTACTGTCGATTCGGGTTCAAAGTAGACAATAAAGGATGTCCAATGTGTGTCTGCAATGAAAGACCGATTATCGCACCTAGGATGAAGAATGTAAATGTTCAGTGTTCTAATGCGGTTTGTAAAATGTACTGCAGATTTGGTTTCAAAACAGATGAGAATGGTTGCCAGATATGTGAGTGTAACGAACAACCAATACCAACTTCTCAGGGGGAGAAGTGTTCAAAGACTGCTTGCAAAATGTACTGTCGATATGGATTCGAAGTCGATGAAAATGGCTGCCAAATTTGTCAATGTAATACCAGAGAACCATTCAAATGCCCTAAAGTTAATTGTTTTATAGCATGTAGGCATGGATTTAGAAAAGATCAAAATGGGTGTGACACATGTGAATGTTTTGAGCCAATAGGTCGTTTGGATCTCCTCGAGGAGAAAACATGTCCAGTATTTGTCTGCTACAAATATTGCAAGTTTGGCTATGTTTTGGACAAAGATGGATGTGGACAGTGCGAATGTGAGGATATAAAACCAAAATTGCAGCTTAATCTAAAGAAGTGTCCAACAGAATCATGCAGTATGTATTGTGAATATGGGTACAAACAAAACTCAAACGGTTGCAACATATGTGAATGCGCAGACGGTGTCCGAGCAAAGATAAATGACAATGTATGCCCAGAGAAAAATTGCAGAATGTACTGTGAATACGGATTTCAAACTGATGTAAAAGGGTGCGACATTTGTAAATGTAAATCTCCACCTGTTGCAAAGCAATGTCCAGTTTTTGTTTGTCTAAAGTACTGTCAATATGGTTACAAGCTTGGGGAGGATGGGTGTGGTCAGTGTCAGTGCACAGGTGAATATTCTTCTGAAGATGAAGACATATCTGCCGAATTCAAGAATGAAAATGAAATGGAGGATTTGGAAACCTTCTGTCCAAAAGTTGCATGTCAAAGGTACTGTGAGTATGGCTATAAGACAAATGGAAATGGTTGCAAGATGTGTCAATGTAAACGAAAACCAAAACCGGATGTGGGCTCTAAACATAAATGTCCAAAAACAGCTTGCCTGATGTATTGCGAATTTGGATTCAAGGTGGATGAACATGGGTGTGAAATATGTGAATGCAACACATTTGACGCCGTTGAAATTGGAGTTGATGATGTTGAATGTCCAGAATATAGTTGCTTAATGTACTGCCGATTTGGCTACTTAAAGGACACTCGTGGCTGTCCTATATGCTCCTGTGAACACCCCAAGCAAGAAACGACATGCCAAGATTTAGATGAAATTTGCCCTTATGATTGCCCATTGGAATACGGAAAAGATAAAAATGGATGCACTACTTGTGAATGTGGAGCATGCGCACCAGTTGAGTGTAATCTGCCAGAATGTCTCTTTGGCTATGAGGTCGATGAATTAGGTTGTGAAATATGTGCATGTGCCGCTCCCGTCTCAAACGAGATAAATAATGATGATACTTCCTCGATAGAGTGTTCAAATGTAGCTTGTCAAATGTTCTGTGAACACGGTTTCGTGAAGGACGATAATGGATGCGACATTTGTCAGTGTAATGAACGTCCGAGGTGTTCAAATGTAGCTTGCCAAATGTTCTGTGAACACGGCTTTGTGAAGGACGATAATGGATGCGATGTTTGTCAATGTAATGAGCGTCCGAGGTGTTCAAATGTAGCTTGTCAAGTGTTCTGTGAACACGGTTTCGTCAAGGACGATAATGGATGCGATATTTGCCAGTGTAATGAGCGTCCGAGGTGTTCAAATGTAGCTTGTCAAATGTTCTGTGAACACGGTTTCGTGAAGGACGATAATGGATGCGACATTTGTCAGTGTAATGAAAGCCCAAGGTGTTCAAATGTAGCTTGTCAAATGTTCTGTGAACACGGTTTCGTGAAGGACGATAATGGATGCGATATTTGCCAGTGTAATGAACGTCCGAGGTGTTCAAATGTAGCTTGTCAAATGTTCTGTGAACACGGTTTCGTCAAGGACGATAATGGATGCGATATTTGCCAGTGTAATGAACGTCCGAGGTGTTCAAATGTAGCTTGTCAAATGTTCTGTGAAAACGGTTTCGTGAAGGACGATAATGGATGCGACATTTGTCAGTGTAATGAACGTCCGAGGTGTTCAAATGTAGCTTGTCAAATGTTCTGTGAACACGGATTCGTGAAGGACGATAATGGATGCGACATTTGTCAGTGTAATGAACGCCCGAAGTGTTCAAATGTAGCTTGTCAAATGTTCTGTGATCATGGCTTTGTGAAAGACGATAATGGATGCGACATTTGTCAATGTAATGAGCGTCCGAGGTGTTCAAATGTAGCTTGTCAAATGTTCTGTGAAAATGGCTTCATGAAGGACGATAATGGATGCGATATTTGTCAGTGTAATGGAGGTATTGTATAAATTATATATATGCATTATCTATAATCTCTTTTAGTTTGCACAACTGTATGTTTTAAATATTTCGAATTTTTAATTTGCAATATTGTTATTCGACACATATAAAACTATAAAGTGATTTAAATGGATTGAATGAAGAGGGTGCTGCTTGTATTCGGGACGTCAGCACAGATTAGAAACTCGATAGGCTTTCATGAAAGGAAGAAAAGAGTGAATTAAATCACCCATAATTCACTGTCCTTAAAGAGAGTATTAGATCTATATAATGTAGTCATTATTTTTACAAATGTGGTCAGTTGTACACGTTGCTTGCAATTTTGTCACCCCCTATTAGATCTGATTATGCCTTTAAATTCTTTTCAAACTTTTAAATGATTTTTTCACCATTATTCAGCTGTTGTTTGTGTCCCTCAGTAATGAGATTCATGAGATTAATCCGCCCATTAATTCCAGATGGCGAAGCAGAACCGAAGCCGGAAGCAGAATGTAGCAAAAACATGTGCAGGATGTACTGCGCAGATGGCTTTGAGAAAGACGATAATGGATGTGACATATGTAGGTGTAAAGATCTAGTAAAGAAAAGGCCACGGGTATCTGCAGCTGAACCGCCATATGTAAATCCTCGTTCTGTTCAAAGCAATGACAGTGGATTTCTAGAGAGGCTTTTTAAGTTTTTGTTTTAACACTTATGGTTTTTTCGACATGATTCAAAGATTACAAACTACTACTGCATATTTTTGGCAAATTACTCTTCAATGAGTCTAATTGGGCACAATACGATATGGTGTGGATCGTCATTGATATAGCATATGTACGACTTGGAAAACATGTACAAATAGTACAACTTTTCATACGACCTAATTTAGGCTAATGTTATTGTTCTATGGAAGTGACATTATGGATTAAATGAAAGCTGAAATCAAACATTTTTATTTATAAGACAGCATAAAAAGCTAAGTCTGATTTTCTGTCGTTCTTGCCGATAAATATTCAGACATTAATTTTGCACCAAAGATGTATAAGTGTTACAATCATAGAATACAATGTCATCATACACATACCTCAAAAAGACAAAGGTTCAGTTTGTATACATAATATAGTGTTGTTTATTCCTTACCATTATCATTATATACAAGGTATATTGTTTGAAATAACTGCAGAGTTACAGCATTGTTGTGTAGCCGAGTTGTACACAGTATTATAACAACAATAGTAGATGCCATTTTGAGACGGACGTCTTTTAACACATTGTGTTTGCCAACAACACACACCAGTTCGGGTGTCGTAGACTTCCTTTCCACAACAGCGTTCGGTGTTGCCATAACGTCTCGGATGTACACAGTTACAACAGCAAATTTCAGTTTCGCGATCATATGTTTTTTCTCCACAACAACTAAACAATTTAAACATGTTGAAAACAGAAGGTGATTTGTACTCTTTTTATATCAACAATTTTTAAGTATCTTCGATTTTACTTTTTTAAACGTTGACCTGTTAATGAAATACTAATCTATCTTATAAACGCTTGCATAACTATGCTCACCTCCTTGAGCCCCCTCCCGGAACAACCAATCCGTTGCAACATGAATAACCTTTCATGTAATAAGGTCGATTGTTGCAGCAACCATATAGAGACGAGCGCCACGCTCTGTTTCCACAGCAGATGTACCCTTTTCCTCCGCTAGTCACCTGGCCGTTACAACAGCTTTGTTTCTTTGGGTCATACAGTTCGAACCCACAACAAGCGCTCTTTGTACCCTCTTTCTTTAACACCTATAACATAATGAGTGCATTTATACTCCTTATATTATGTGCTTTAAAATGTTAAGTAGTGCTTTTTCAATACTAGTAATAGTATATGGTTCAATCTATTTCTTGACCACCAGAAACACCCTTTTCAAATATATCAGGAAATGGTTGGCACTTTACAAAAAGCAGTACACTTTCTTAACTGTAACTATTCTACAAAAGTTTTAATTGTATGAAAGTATTCAAAACTATGTTCTAAAATGGCAACATAATTTTAGATTTTTTAATTACCTATAATACTATTTAGTAGTTAGTCTCTTTTACTAAAATGCTCCCGAAAACGGGATTAAGATTTGTGAGAATACATTGATATCGAGAATGTCAATGGCCTTCAAATCGGAAAAAATACAGTTGTTCATATACACTGTATGAGTTTATTAAAAATAAGAAATAAAAAAATAAAGAGCCATGAAATGTCCAAAATACAAAAGGATTTCGTACGATTTGAAAATGCTCACCACAATGCGAAGTACGTCATGTACGTCACAAAATTATTGCTTAATTAAATATAAACGTTACCTGGTTATAGCAGCAAGTTTCAATTCGATAGTCATATGTTGAAGTTCCACAACACACGGTGAATTTGTCAGGTCTTGGTCGAACCTGACCATTACAACATAGCTGCTTATCGTAGTTATACCTTTGTTTGTTACAACATCCGAATGGCGAGTTGAATTTCGGCAGAACCTGTCCGTTACAGCACGACTGTTTTGTGGGGGCGTAGAGTCTACACGTTGGATAGTTGTAATGGTAGTAATATGGCCTTGAGTAGTAATAAGAGTATGGGTAGTAGGGACAATATCGGTTGTAGTAGTAGTAGTGGTAGTTGCAGCAACAGGCGGTGTATTCAGCACCATTGGGTCCCGAGGGCATGTTATACACCCGACATCCGCAGCATCTTTGGTTGGCCACATTGTACAGCTGCGCGGTATAGTAACCAAATTGATAACAACTGCAACATCTGGTGTTTGGGCCGTATATCCGGCTGTACACTCTTCCACCACAACATATCTGTTTGAGGGAATCATATGTGGTAGATGCCCCATATGCGTTCCAGCAGCATTGTGTGTTTTCCGTTCTCGGGAAAGCTCTGCTACCACAACATATTTCTTTTTTAATATTGTAGACCCCTTCACCACAACATCCCTCATCCTTGACTCTCGATATAGTACATTTTCCTCCGCAGCATCTTTGAGTTGGTGGATGGTATCCTTCGTTACCACAACACGACATTGGCTTATCACCCTGCCTTGGGACAACCACTTTGTCGCAACACATTGCGTCCTTCGCTCTGTACGCTTCTTGTCCACAACAACGCAAAGTGCAACCAAGGTCGTTGTTGTACAATTTGCCATCACAGCAGAGTTTTTTCTGTGTATCATACGCCTCATCCTTGCAGCAGCCAATATAATTTACTCTCCCTATCTTGTATATATCATAGAGCTTATCTTTGCAGCAGATTTGAAGGTTCGAGTTGTATGGTTTTCCGCAACAGCAGGCGTCTGTGTAGGTTTGCTTCCTGTACCAGTAATAACGATAGTAAATTGTCTTCCAATGTAAACGCCCATCGCAGCAAAAGTATCGTATAGGGTCGTATAGACGCCCGGCACATTTGGAAGGTGATGGTGGGTAATACCAATATACCTTACTTAGACGAACTGACTCAGCGACCATCTTCGCTTCATCTGAAACGTCTTCGGGTGCAGTAACGGGCATTTTTATTGTTTCTGCAAAACGGCCTCCTCCAAGAGCTTTAACAATAAAAGTTAATTTATGACTTTTCGTATAGACGTTTTGTAATTTTTAACTTAAAGATCTCGCATTTACTGACTGACTATGTTTGAGAATCATATAGATTTAAAGAAAATTATAAATTATTGCACGTGTTGCTGTTTAGAAATTCCATGTCATTCACTTACCAATTGGATTCATTTTTGTATCTAACTTTGAGTTGAACGATTCAAATGACACAGATAAATCGTCAGTTTGTACTTCACTTGGAATTTTCGCTAATATTTCAGATGCATTGCCTTGCGAACTGTCCGGTGGAGGTTCAACAAGACTTTGTTTCTCTGCATTACTAATAATCGATGCCTGCCTCGCCTCCGCTTTATCTGCATCAGTTTCTACCATAGCCGCGACAGTTCTTTCTTCTGCATCAAGTGCCAATGTTGAGTCCTGTCCAACACTTCCAATAACTTCGATTCTGCCACTACCCTTCAAAGCATCAATTTTTTCAGCCCTGGTGGGTTCTTTTTGATCTGCATGGATCACGCATGTGCTTGATGGAAATTGATCAATTAAATAAGTACTTGGTGGAAAATAATCAATCAATATGAAATATCAATAACTTTTCCCGACAATTAAAAATAACGGTTACTTATTAATAAGTTACTTAAAATATATTATCTGTGTATATATTGAAATAGTTTCTGCAATTTAAACGTGATCAAGTTATAAAAGTGTCTGACCTTATAACAGCAATTACTATGAAAACTAGTCTTCGCATATTTCAAGGTAGCCGAGAATGCTCCGGATTAATAAAACAAATTAATTGTTCAGATGCATTTTATACGATTTCAAAAAATGTTTACCCTCAAGAATTGTTTTCGCTGTGACAATAGCCAATTGAACTAATAGATCATCATTAGCGATTGATACTGTTGTTTTGAAATATTGATATTTAGTTTCGGGACATATCCGCGTGGTCAAATCCGCCATTTTCTATAGAATTGAAATCAGTTTGTTTATTTGTTTTTCAAATGTTTTGCTCAGTTAATCAAAGCAAAACCTTGATTTGAGATGCATGAAAGAGTTGATGGATTTCATTTAAAAAATAGATACGAAATCAAAACAACTCATATAGTATCGGATTTGATTGATTGGATTGGCATAAACAAATTTAGTTCGTCTGCTGTTAGTAAAAACGCGACAATATGACAGGCTATCAACCAAAAGTTAACCCCCGAAAAGTGGCACTATTCTTATATCTAGACTTAAATCAATGCGTTGAAAATAAAATGATATCTTATATTTTGACGAGCAGGCGAGTCATGTTTACTAATTGAAAAGTAAATGGTTCTTCAGATGATTCTGAGATTAACAAGAAGAAAATGTGTCAAAGTGTGTTTTTGGGTAAAATATGTGTTTCTTTGCAGAAAAAACTTTAAAAGTAAAAAAATGTTTTTTTAATGCTGTTATAGTAAAAACAATCTGGTTGACTATAAAAAGAGAAAAAAATTATTATAGATTTTGGAGATTTTTGGAAGCTTTCAGAGATTTTTCTACTGGTTGGCATTTGGTGAAATGAATAGTCAGTGTACCATTTATACTTATAGAGACAATACGAGGGGCATTTGAAAAGTTCGTTTTTTGCTCTAAAAATACCAGGAATGATCAGAACAAGACAAAATTTGCAGGATGTATTGTTTGAATATTTATTATTAATCTTTGAAAATTATAGCATGTAATATATTATAGTCACAGTTTTACATTCATTTGAAATATACTTGTCTCGATACCGTGGAGCAGTTTGAATGTTGATACTTTTACGTCACAATCAATGTATCCAACCATACTGTAATGTGCAGTCCATGCACCTATCTTATCATAGTCACAACATTAAGCCAGTGGGTCGACTAGGGCTCTCTGTCTCCTACGAAATATTCTCCCCAAAATAGAATGCACTTTCTAAACCTCAATATCCAATCCATATAGGCATTTTCTAGGCCATTACTAAAGCATTCTTTGGTGGCTTGCTGTACAACTGTCCTTTTTGACTCATCTTCGATGGTTGAGATGCCTTTCTTGAACTAGTTCAACCAGCTTCTTATCATGGGATAGGAACAACAAGTGTCTTCATATCTTGCTTTACATGTTCTTACAGTGTTCTTTGAGTCTTTTCCTTATTTTACACAGATTTTGATGCAAAGTCTCTGCTCTTTGATAAGTTCATTCACCATTTTGCTCCACTGTTTGGAAACACCTGCTTCACCCAAATTTTAGTGAAGAGAGTGAGTCTATTTTGACGGAGGATTATGACATCACACTGACAGCACAGTGAGTCCATTCACCTGTAGACACTATTACATCACTGGCGTGTTGCTATGGCAACACATTTTAAACAAATAACTGTCATTTTCAAAAAACATATTAAGTTTTTTTCATTGTATGCATGTTTCATGCACTGCATTTTTAAGGTGCTCCAAGAACCAAGTCTCGTTGTTGTGGCAACCAAAAGTCCACTTCCTTATAAGGAATCATATTAATTTGGGATTGTTGTATACCCAAGTTGTATATGGAACATATCTTGAAGGTTTTATAAATAAATCTGTAAAAAAAATTAAAGCAAAAAGAAACGAACTTTTCAAATGCCCCTCGTATTTAAAGGTGCAATGGCCGGAAATCGGGAATAATTCTTTAGATAAACTAAAGAAAAATCGTTGGTGCCTCAAACCTGCCGCCCCGAGGAATGGCTACGACCTGAACTTACTTTTGTCAAATTACCAGAGCCTGAAAGAAATCACTCACCTAGATATCGACGAAAGAAGTTTCAGTTTCGTTCGACTGCGAGAGCAAAATTGAAGCTGAACTTAACGTTTTTCATTTGTCGTAAAATTGACCTCATTTAACTACGCCATCTGGCGAATGAATCATTGTTTTCGTGTCATGTGATTCGTTGTTTTGTGTCACGTGACCTAACTTTAGACCTTTTGCCACCTAAAAAATGAAATTTTTCGATCGAAGAAAAAAATTTGCACAAAAATTATAAACTCGGCTTGACATAATCTTTGTCACTCTATCGTCTTCTTGATGAAACACATCGGAACTTGGGAACTTGGGATTAATAGCCATTCAACCAAGCCACAAAAAGTATGCATATTAGTTGTTCAACATGTTCAATTGTGTTAATATTTCCGGGCACTCAACCTTTAACTACTCGAATTAGCATTGATATTGTAATTCAATTTCAGTTCCTACATATTCCTGTTCATAAATTATATTAATCACATATTCATAGAAGTAAAGAATGTGTGCCGTGTGTCACCAATGCATACTTTAATATATCCTCTAAACCTCTAGAGACACAATTAGCTTACTAGATAACAATTTAAAATGGACACCATGTTATCTGAAAACATGTTTGTCAGTAAAAACATCACGGGTTGTCATTTACTATTTTGAAAAATGGAGTGAAGTAGGTCATTTTTACAAGTTTCAATGTTTTCACAATTTTTTTATTTAACTAAAGAGCTACTGTACATATTCGCAGATACAAATGAGCCAGCACATGCAACAATGTCAATCGTAATTCCAAAACGATCTGGTTACTACTTTTTGTGTTATAGTAAAATACGATAAAATGGCGGCCATTTTTCAAACTAGCGGCCATTTTGAAAAATGGCCGCCTTCTACCAAATGTGTCATTAGACAGTGTGCCATGCTTATAGTATTCACATACCAAATCTGAACAAAATCGCTCCACTACTTTTCGAGTTACAGCAAAAATCGTAAAATAACGAGTAAAGGCCACCATTTTTCAAGATGGCTGCCATGTGCTTCTTTAATATCTACATTTCTAGCTTTATTAATGTCCTTTATAATTTTTTTACATTCAAAACATATTGCTATTACAGTTTTACATATTGCACCTAAATTACTGTAAAATCGGCACTAAAATGGCCGCCATTAAAAATCGGCTTTCGAGCAGAACTTCTACCCCCATAGGGCATACGTGTACAAAATATGAAAAAAATCGGGCCGACGGTATTTGAGTTATTGCCCGGAAGGACGGACGGACGTACGGACGGACGTACGGAGGCGTTCCCTATATCCCTCCGAACTTCGTTCGATGGGATAATTACAATATTTGGATGACTTAATTTGATGTTTTTCAATATCGCCAAACATAATCAGACTTTGATAAGTAATCCAAAAGGGGATTTCCCGTTTCCAATATGGAGGTTGTTCTACAATATATAAATCGCATGAAATAGCAACTTTCCTGTCAAGTCATCTCAACAATTGTAAATATCCATCGTGGGGCACTTCGATGGTTACCTCCAGTGATCTCGAGTTGATGCAATGTCTCTATTTAATGTACTGGCTTATCATCGAGATACGAAACTGATTGTGTATTAGACCCTAGACAAAGCAAATGGTGATGATGTCATTTATAAATTTCGTCCGCAATTATTTGCAATCAATTTTTATAGTTATTAATCATCATTCATATCGATAATCAAAAGGACATTTGTATCATTCTATACATCCCGTCTCAGAAATTAATTTTTAAACCAGTTGTGGTAGATCTAGTAGGCCTGGTGAAAATCGTGTAAACTATTTTTCATTTACAAATCAAACTCATAATCGGATCCAAATACAGATGGAGACAGAAAGGACAGATTAATAATATAATTGTTTCCAATTGATTGTATAAATAAGTTCAATGAGCAATCATTTTAATACACATTGATCCGATCCACTCGCACATCCATCCATCAACTAATGCACCAATTGTTTATGATCCTTATGGGCGTAGGACAATTTCTCAAACTCGTTCAAATCCATATCTGCCCCTCCCACCTTAGCCACACGTATATAAGAAAATACAGCGCCAACTGCCCTCCACACTGGTGCTACGAAGGCCTGCATAATTGCGTTAAACATCTGTTTCGTGCACACTAGCTGAATGAACCATGTCTTCAGAGAAGGTATGCAGACCTGAAAATGAATTAAAATTTCATCATGCGCAGACGGTACTTTGACACTCGCATTGTACTTTATCATAAACTGCAAATTGCGTCTAAAACGATAGAAACACGACGTTTGAGGAAAACAACAAGTCAAAACATCCAATATTTGATAAAAGACATATCACTCACCCAAATGTAACAGAATGAGAGGAAAGCAAAGTGGCAACCCCAGAGACATGCACATGGAATGGCGCAGATAAGTGTGATGATTCTATACGTCCACAATTTAACAGCTGTAAACACTTTGAAGGAAAGTATCCACACTTTGTCGAAGCTGAATATGGTCGGATCCGGCTCAGCAAAGACTTCAGCAAAAGCTACCTACATGTTAAAAAACAATGACATTTCTATTTAAATATTAATATTATATATTGGTTTTAATATTATCTCTTTTGTCCACACGTCGGATTTGATTCGTCGTGGTCATTAATTTAGTTGTGTATTTCATGAAGGTTTCTGTAATCTTGTTTTTATTTGATTTTAGAATACAGCCTGCGTTCCCTTAAGTCATATGGACTAGTAATCTCACCGAACGAAGTTCGAGGGGGATATAGAAAAGCCGTCCGCCCGTCCGTTCGTCTGTCCATCCGTTAGTGTATCCGGGCGATAACTCAAATACCGATTGACGAATTTGATTCAAATTATAAGTTTATGCCTTATGGATATAGGGCCTCTGCTCGAGAGGGAACATGTGTGTCATTTTTCGTAAACGAAATGTAATCTTTTATAACTCAACTGATAAGTTGACTGATTTGGTTCAAATTTAATATACTGGTGCCTAAGGACAAAGGAGTTTTGCTGAAGAAGAATTTTTCAAAATGGCGGCCATTTTTCGTGAAAATGTAATCTTTGATAACTCCAGTTAAGTACCAGTCAACGAATTTGGCTGATACCTAGGGACACAGGAGTTCCTGTCGAGAAGGAATTTTCAAGATGGCTGCTGAATTTCAAAATGGCCGCCTTTCTTCATCTCAGAACGTAATCTTCGATAACTCAAATACCAGTGGAAGGATTTGGTTCAAATTCCAAATGCTGGTGTCTAGAAACGAGCTCTGGTCAAGAAGGAATTTTCAAAATGGCGCCTCAATTTCATAATGGCCACCATTCTTCATTTCAGAATGTAATTTTCTATAACTCAAATACAAGTGGTCGGATTTGGTTTCAATTTTCGAAATGGCCGTTATTTATCAAAACATGTTTTGTTCGTTGGGATCTGCTATTCCGCGGAGTTGCCGTTTTCATTATTGGATTCAAATTATAGATACTCTATATTTATCATACCAGCAAATGTGAATTGACATCATTTGGGTCTCTTTCCATGACATCAATCTCACTGTCAGCTGGAACCTCTAAACCAGAGGTCTCCTTGCCTCCAACTTTAGCCTTCTCCTTCTTACCACCCATAGCTGAAATAGATTCAGGTATTAGAATTGTTAATGATATCGTTTTTTATTCTTATAATAGAAATTCACACATTTTAAGGAGAACTATTGATTGATGATACTCATTTTTGGTGCATAATTGAGATAAAACTTGACAGATCTTTACTATGGCAAATTTTAACATTTTGACTGATTTCTTTTTGTTGTTGTATTTTTTGTTGAAATCCATAAAATCTTTTAAAACTTTATTTTGGCCTATTTCAACATGCCAGCTGATCCACCACCCTGGTATACAGGTATATTTTACCAAAAGCTGTATATGACAAAGTGACATAGACATCATTGATATTATTATGAACGTCTGTAATAAGCTTTATTATGTTCCCATGCATGGGCAAAATAATCATTTTGGTCACCACATATGTGTTTAATGACTTAAAAGTTATTTTTGCTAACTTAAAAAGTTAGCGCATGTAGTGTTTGATCAATATTATACAGAACATCATATGATACAGTTGTTAACTTACTTTTGTTAATCCGTTTCGATTTGAAATAGTATTCCAGGGAAGGGTTGAAGTGGATTTCCGGAAACCTTTCAAATTGACTGAAACATGTGTCGTCTTCAAGTAGATGTAAATATATGGACACGAATATGATGGACTTGTACCAAACGACATGATTATTTACGGTATGCATAACATGCACGGATTTATAGGGTATTTGTACACATACAATATTTGTTATTAAATAATAAGTTACTTATATCTATATACTCGTCAGATTAACCGTGAACTCACCCAATCTCAATTAACTTGCTGTCTCTATGTGTTTTTAGAAAGTATTACAAACATTTGTATCTCATATAGACTCTGTGATAGCTTACTTATTATTCATACTTATTCCAACTAAAAATTCATAGCTATCGATATGATATGATATGATACGATATGATTATTTATTTCCTCCATTACAGAGCGCCATTGAGAGGAGTACGTTTTCGAGAAATCATATGTATCGTAAAAGTATCAGTTGAATTTGCTTCATAGGTGATAATACAGGGTGACCAAAAATGAATGCAATCCATAATGTGCTTTTCATTTCTTTAATCAATAAGATCTATGATTCGTGTTTCATTCATATCAATCTGACAAATACGTCCTTAAAGTTTGAGTTCTGCCATTCAAATGGTCTGTCTTCTGCTATGTGGTTTCAAAATCCATGACCACCTTGACATCGCAGACACCCCTGAATGTGGCTCTAGAAGTTTTCAATCAAACGGGGTTTCATTCGTTTTGGGACACACTGTATCTGAGATACATGTAGAAGCATTTACCGAAAAACGCTCAGAAGAAAAATAGGCGTGGCCTATTAAGTCAAGGGTCATTTTCTCAGGGTTAGGAGGTTAATACAAGGAAGCGGGATGAAAAAATGGGCGAGGCACACTTAAAATCAAAAGTCTTAATCGGTCTTGGTTGTTGGACCGTTGGTAATATCTCGTAATACTAGTATTTTATTATTGATTCGACCTAGTTTGCATAGTCACTGTGATACTTAGTAAAATAAATCATATGAGCTAAATTTTTCAATAATTTGCCCCATGTCAAAACTACTCTAAACACTACTGATATTTTGTAAGTAGACTTAACATCATTATATTCTTATGTCTAACACTTACTCATTTCAAATTCCGGTGACAAATAGCGTCATCCCTTTGACCCTCGTTCGAACAACTACGATAGTTTTTATTAGTTAAATTATTATTAGCAAACATATGTATTTTACATACTACGTCTAATTGGTTTATTTATAAAATGACTTCAGACTGCATTTTTGTTTGTCCGCGGTACAAGCATTTGCGTAATATTTTAATGACGTTTCTCCCCAGGTATCACTAAAAGAACAATAAGGCATGCAGTGCAAATTCCACGTTCCTGTGTTTTCAACAAAAATCGCTTATCCAAGCGCACCTATACGCACATAATTCTTTTGAAAGATATCACAGTTTATTGCAGTGTAACTCCTGTGTAAGCAGACGCGGCTGGCACACGCGAGCAGCCTACAAGATTGCCACAGGGTGATTAGCGGTTTAAGTGCGCTTGAGTGAACTGCTTTTGTTGAAAACGTGTGAGCATGTAATTTGCATCTAATGGGCTCATTGTTCCTTTTCATGATACTTCGGGAAAAAACTTATCATGCAATATACTTGCGCCGCGGGCAGTTCAAAAACGCAGATACGATAGAAATGTAATCAAGATTAAATTAAAAATATGTTATCACATGTATTTATTCAGATGATGCAGATTACCACACACTTTAAAAACCTTTAATATTAACTTTTGCATGCACATGCTAGACTGACTGTCGGTACACACAAAATGATGTAAAGAAATAGATTCCCCTATCTGATTAAATAGAATATAACAAAACGGTACAGCATTTGTGGATCGAACTGCCCGTATGAAGCTATTTTCAAAATTAGAGATTTGACGGTTCATTATTCTTTTTAGTGAAACTGCCAGACGATAATGTCACGTGGTTACAATCAGCCAATGTAATAGCAGCTAATGGCACTTGGTTGCATGAATCAGCCAATAGAATATAGATAGCAGTTATCGTCGCAAGGTGCAACCAGCCATTACAGTTATTGTCACGTGATAACTAGTAATCGATGAAATAGAAGTGATAATCTATGTTTACAGTTAGTCTGCAAATCACGGGGACTCTAGTACTGATTTCCATTGTCGAAAAAAATCCCCTTGACTACGTGTACGATATCATTCGAGTGTCTACAAACGGTTAAATCTCTTATGATGAAAAGCCTCAATTTGTAATCGTAATTTCAAAAGAAATTAGTCAACAAATCAACAGTTGCCAAGGTATGCAAATGTTTTTGTTAACAAAATATGTCATTGTATTATCACCATGATTAGTATGAAAAATTATAGAGCTGAAGAAAAACAAAGTTTCGTGAATTATATTCACATTGACACATGTTATGAATTCATGAGAAGTATTTAAAATGCGTATCTGTGTAAAGCAACAGCAAATTCACTCATTCAGTTAATATACCAGTATTTCTAAAAACGTCAATGTACTTGGTTATCTTTCATTCGAAGTTACTTTCCATTATTGCGTTGACGTTTTTGCTTTCTCAAATCCATAAACGGTTTCCCACATAGATGAAAGATTGTAATGACGGTGATGTCATGCTAATTGACATCCCTGTCTTCCGACTGCAGTCGTCTTGACCGTACTGTTGTTCTTGTTCTTTGATTGTGTGATGGTCAGGCAATAACCTTCCGCCAGGACTGTTTATTGCTCTAGCTCCCCATCTGAAAAAGTAAATTAACCATGTTTTATAGGGTTACCCTCAGTGAATTACGCACGTTATATAGGGTTGCCCTAAGTGAATTATTCGCGTTATATATGGTTGCCCATAGGTGAATTAGGTACAGTTTATAGGATTGGCCATTACTGAATTAAGCCCGTCTTATACACAGGATTGACTGTAAACTGGTAAATGCATGCATTAAGTACGTGTTATAGGGTTGTACGTTTGTGAAATAAGCACGTTTTATAGGGTTGTCCGTAAGTGGAATAAGCAGTCTCATGGGGTTGCCTGTAGCTGAATTGAGCACGTTTATAGGGTTGTCAATAAGTGAATTAAGCAAAGTTTATAGGATTACCCGTAAGTGAATTACGCACATTAATAGGATTGCCAATGCATAGTTCATAGGTTTGCCTATAACTGAATAAAGCACGTTTGCTAATGAGGTTGTCCGTCAATAAAATAAGAATATCTATCAGAGATGCCCTAAGTGAAATATCAGTTGCACAAGGTCCACAGTGTTGTCTGTAACTGAATTAAATAGTTTTATAGGGTTGCCTATTTGTGAATTACGCACGTTTTAAGGGGTGCCCAATGTGAAATAAGCACGTTTTTAGTTACATGTGGTTTAATGTTTCCCAAAAAGGTTTAACTCAAACGCCTTGATCTATCAATTGCAGCTATAATTCTAAAAAGCCAGTACGCCGATGGAATCCATCTTAAATGCTGGTAACGGCCGTTACCTTCACTTGATACTGACCAGTGACATCGCAATTTCTGACATAATTCATAATCAAAAATTCACTTCCTGGTCTATAACAGTTTAATTTGTGACATTATTCATATTCAATAATTTACTTTCTTGATCCATGATAGTGCAAGTTAAGACATAACCCATATTCAACAATTTACCTTTTTGATATCTAACAATTCTCGGCATAACTCAACAATTCTCGACATAATTCAACAATTTACGTAAGCTTACGTTCCTTATCTACGACGGTACAATTTGTGGTATTACTCATATTCGACATTTTACTTTCCCTATAAGTGAAAGAACAATTCAATTGTGACAAAATTTATATATTCAACAACTTACTTTCCTGATCCGTGAAAGAACAATGACAAGATGAACAGTGACAAAATCCATAGTACTATTCAACAATTTTTGATATATGGCAAAACAATGTGTGTCATAGCTCATATTCAACAATTTACCTTCTTATTATGACTGTACAAATTGTGACATATTTAGCAATTCACGTTCCATCATCACGTACGAGTCTACACCCGAGTTCCATGGACATTTGCGGTAGCCATACAAGAAATAATATGCGTAGCTATTCTCATGTTTTCAGTTTAAGGAATGTGATGAATGACATTTACGATGTTACGCGACCGGTGATGGAAGTTAATGGCAACCTATGCCTTGTTCTGCATTAACGAAGTGTGTTTTGCATTCCATCAAAAAGCTAACTACCTAAATGTGTGTTAAGGGAGGTTTTTCCATATGATCAAATGAAGATTTACCACACACCATTATTGTAAAACTTACATTTCAAGGCCTTTTGTTAAAATTAAGTGCACAGAATGTGACATTCAAGAACCTTGTCATTAAATAGCCCAATGGAGACGGTACTCTTATTGATAAATCGTGCAATAAGTGTATCTCCACGATCAGTAATGTAAGATAAACATTAACCAGCTCCAAGTAAGACACTCAAGTTTGTTAGATAAGAAGCTTGCAAGCATCCTTTAATACAATTATAAATGGGTCTAATGAGGTCTGATATAATATGAAGATATGATATCTGGCTGATAGATAAGGAGATCCCAATACAATTTTCCTGGAATTGATTCCTAACAGGACTCGATTGGTTTTATTCATTTTTATCCCATCCAATTCTATATGTGAAAAGCCAACAGTGAATCCAATTCTAATAACTATAAAAACTATTAGATACACAACCTTGCATTCAAAAATAAAATATTGATATTTAACGTACACCCGAGTCTTAAGTAGAATCCTAAAAAAAGATTTACAATAAACGATGATTACTCGAGGACCTATTGTATGATCCACTTTACTGCAATA